CAATGTTATCTTTTATTTTAAGTTTGTTTAGTTAGGAAGTTTATTTAATTTCAAAGTCCTTCTATATACAAAGGGACTTAGGGCAAATTAAATGAATATAACTATTTCCGTTTCCCTCAATTCTTTCCTTTGATTTCCTTTCTTCTTGTTGTTCTTTATCAATCTGTATGCTCCTACATCACTAGTAGATCTAGATTTTGTACTTTGTTTTAAATTGATTATTTGCTAATAATTCTACATTCTTTCACAGTTTCATGTTTTAAGCATGTTCCATTATTCTATTTTTGGATCTTGAATACTTAAAAATGTAGACCAGGCCAGCCTGCCTTGTATACGCCAGTGGGCCATATGTTTGAGTTTTAAATGTTTTTATTTGGAGTTCATATGGCTATCTGGAACAGGAATATGAGATTTTATTTAGATAATATTTAATGGGTAAAAAAATCCTTCGGATTATAATTATAACATACGTTGATGTCTTTTACAATAGTGCATTATCGACAGTTTTTTTCTAATACATACATCATTTTGTCACTATTTTGTGGAAGAATTATCTAAAGCAACAGCACTATCATCAATTCACCAAAATATTATACTTTTCATTATAAGGTGTAATATGAAACGTAATGATAGATATTGAATTGTTACTTTATGTACAATCCATGCCCTTGACGATCGACTCCACTTGCTTAGGCTTTCACACATTATCCATCTGTAGTATTAGACACATTACAAATGTCCAAATCTGATGTGCACAAATCGTGCCGTGGTTTGCGTTCGACAACTAAGGGGTAAACTACTGAAAGATAATCAATACAATAGGATTAGACAAAACTGAAAAATTTAGTTCATAATTCAAGCCTGCCAATTTGTTAAAATGACATAGCGTTATATGCAAAAACTAATGACATGCTTAATATAGTAAAGTGCTAAATATAATAATCAACTTCGGAATATATACAAAATTATTTAAAGTGAATGAAAGGGAAGATTATTCCAGTCATTCAATATTTCATATGATCCTCGATTGCTTGATTTTTGGTTGTAATATAAGTTGGAAACTTAACTTTTAGAAGAGAATGAAAAAATATTTCTAGAGAACAATCACTTTATTTTATAACACTCCAAAAATGATCAGTTGAAAATGAGTATAATCGCTAGCCTTTTATAGGGTTTACAAAACATTAATTTAGTCTAACATGTACTAGTTATTAAATGCAAATTATTTTCGAAATAATCCATGTATTTTTCAAGTGCATGAATAAACTAGTGCATTTAATCTATATATATATGAATGATTCCAAAAAACATGAATTAACTCGACTAGATAAATAATGAACTTGTTAGTAAATTATGTTAATATTATAAGATTTGATGGAAAAAATTTGCGATTTAATAATGGAATTTTACAAACTTTAACTCCGCATATTGTTTGTCAACTCAATCTCGAACAAAAGTGTGGCTGAGTTTTGAGCAAAGTTGCCAGAGACACCGGGTTGCTCGAGCTTGAAACTGAAGAAGATGAAGGGAACAAGAACAACGAAGAGTATAATTTCTCCACCAGTGAAAGTAAGTTTGTGAAAGATGATCATGATCTTCCTACAAACCAATGCCATTTTTATCATCAACCTCGCACCCCTAATTGTAACACAGGTGCCACGACATTTACAGTTGTAGAAACAAGTTCTGTGGATAGAAAACCTTATAAAGTGAGAGGACTGAGGAGCCCAAACATTTTACTTTCTCAAAATTTGTTCTGAAGAGAGCAAGAGGATACTCATGATGAGGCTACCAAAGAATGTGATAATGTTGACACCATGTTAGTCGATGACAGTGAGACAAATAATACCAATCTTGGCACAACTGAATCCAACATGGAAATGCTTTCTGGCAGGAAAGATTGTGATACTACACGGCATGGAAGTGATATTTCAGTGAGTAACTTGAAGAACAAGAAGGATAGCGCAAGGACAAGCAACCAAGAAATTTGCTAACATCCCAGCTGAGCCTGAAACTGAAACAGGAAAATGTGGATAGCTTATCTCCTACGAATTTGAGGGAGAATTGTCAAAAGCAATGGCAATACCAACATATTTCACTTTTCATCATAAGGTGATCAAACAATAGGATGAGATTTATTTATTTATTTTTAATATATAAAATAGAGCATTTTGATATTTTTCCATTGAAGTGAAATTTCAAATTGGATCAACTGAAACAAGTATCCTATCTTAATTGGCCTTTCACCCCTAGCCCTTTCTTAGCTTTGTAGCCTCATCATCTCCCACTTGAGGTTTCTTTGGAGATTTCTCTTTCCCAAGTGATGAGCTTTCTTGCTTCATTCTTGTGCACAATCCATGAGCTTGACAATTGACTCCAGTTTTTTAGGCATTCACACATTATCCATCTATAGTATAATTAAACATATTAATTACATGAACTGATGTGTGTGTGATCTTCGTATGCACGTCCGCAAATCGTGCAAATGTGTTGCATGCTACAACTAAGGGTTAGAGAAGGACGTGTGGGTCATAACTCGTTGATTTTGAAAGCTAAAAACTGAGAAATAATAAATACAATATGATTAGACGAAACTGAAAATTTTATTCATAATTCACACCTGAGAATTAATTACAACAAAGCAACGTTATATACGAAAAACTAATGACGTGCCTAATACATTGAAGTGCAAAACATAATAATTCAATAAGGAATATAAAAAATTACAGAAAGTAACCGAAAGGAGAGATTATTCCAGTCGTGCAATATTTCATATCCTCGATTGCTTATTTTTGGCAGTAATGTATGTTGGAAACTTGAAGATGGAACAATAATTTATAGAAGATGAGAAGATAATATTTCAAGAGAACACTTACTTATTTCATGACGCTCCTAAAATGATTAATTGAAAAAGAGTACCGTCAGTAGCCTTTTAAAAAACATGAATTTAATCAAAGACACATAGTAATTATTAACTGCAAATTAATCCCCACATTATTCATTTTTTCCAAGTACATGAATAAACCAGTGCATTTAATCTAGGAATGAATAATTTCAAATTACAGGAGTGAACTTGACTAGATAAATGATGAACTTGACTAATATATGATGTTTATATTTACGATTAGGTCAAAATGTCTTCGATTTGGTTGTTGGGATTTTATGGTCTTCGATACCACATATTATTTGTCAACCTCAATCTCAGAAAAAAGTGTGGGTGATGTCTTGAGCAAAGTTGCAAGAGGGCCTGGGTTGATCGAGCTTGAAACTGAAGAAGATGAAAGGAACAAGAACAATGAAGAGTATAATTTCTCCACCAGTGAAAGTAAGATCTGTTAGTGCGGAAACGAAGTGTTGAAGAAAAACTTGAATTTTTATTGATAGTTTTTGAGTTGCTACAGCACACTCAATAATGTTTTCTTCTTTTTTTTCTTACAATGAGACTACAAGAATGACCTCTATTTATAGGACCACATGGATAACTCTAGAGACATGGGAATATAAATGGACACCTAATAATTCATGAATTTGCATCATGTATTTTCCTGATGCATTTTCTTCAAGTGCATCATGTATTTTCCTGATACATTTTCTTCAAGTGCATGTAACCTTATTTATTTCCTAAGATTACAAATTAATGCCACATTTAACACCCCCTCTTAATTTGTAATCTTCAGTTTTTCCTTGATCTTGTCGAACTTGTCAAATGTGACTGCCTTTGTTAAAATGTCTGCTGGCTGATCATTTGTGTTGATAAATTCCATGCAAATTTCTTCTCGACTTACCAAATCTCGAATGAAGTGATGACGTAGTTCAATATGCTTCGATCTGGCATGAAAAACTGGATTTTTTGTCATAGCAATTGTTGACATATTGTTGTAATGTATTGTTGTTGGCTCTTGTTGTTCAAACATCAAGTCTTTTAGAATTCTTCTAAGCCAAACTGCTTCACAAGCGGCATCCGCAGCTACAATGTATTCCGCTTCTGCAGAAGATAGTGCTATAGACCTTTGCTTCCTCGAACTCCATGAAATAATATTTGTTCCAAGACAAAAGATGTAGCCCGATGTACTTTTGCGGTCAACAAGTGAGCCTGCCCAATCACTGTCAGTGTAGCCAACAAGGTTGAAGTTATTTTCCTTTTTGAACTCAATGCCTTGATTTTTTGTACCTTTAAGGTATCTCAAAATTCTTTTTGCCGCCGTAAAGTGATTCTTGCTTGGTTCATTCATGAACCTGGAAAGTAAACTCACTGATTGAGTGATATCGGGCCTTGTGTTGAGGTAGATGAGTGAACCAATTAACTTTCGGTAGAGTGTAGCATCTACTTTTTCAGCATCATCATTAACTTGGAATTTTTCATTCGGCCCCATTGAAGTAGAGACTGGCTTGCACTGGTTCATGCTGAATTTTTCTTTTAGATCATCAATATACTTCTCTTGAGATAAAAAAATTCTTCCCGGGCTTTGTTTGACTTGGATGCCAAGAAAGTATTTCATTTGACCCAAGTCACTCATCTCAAAGTCTCTCATCATCTTTTTCTTGAATTCTTCCACCATGCTTTTACTTGTACCAAAGTATAGAAGATCATCCACATAAAGACATACTACAAGAAAGTCTCTTCCAAGATTATTGACATATAGAGATGATTCACTCGTGCTTTGATTGAATCCATTTTGGATGAAATAGCTATTGATTTTGCTATTCCATGCTCACGGCGCTTGCTTTAAACCATAAAGTGCCTTGTATAAATGATAGACTTTTCCTTCTTGTCCTTTGATTTCAAATCCTTCAGGTTGCTCGACATAAACTTCTTCTTGAATTTCACCATTTAAGAATGCCGATTTTACATCAAGTTGATAAACACATACCTCCAATTGAGTTGCCAGTGCCAAAACAGTACGAATTGTCTCCATTCTTGCAACCGGAGCATATGTTTTAGTGTAATCAATTTCGGGCTGTTGAGAATACCCTTTTGCAACAAGACGTGCTTTGTGCTTTTAGATCGACCCATCTTCATTGTATTTTATTTTATAGACCCACTTGAGTCCAATGATTTTCTTCCCTTCTGGCAAGGCAACAAGCTTCCAAGTTTTGTTTTTCTCGATTGTGGACATTTCTTCATTCATGGCTTTTGTCCAGCATACTTCTTTTGAGGCTTCTTCAAATGATTGTGGTTCCCTAGAGAACAACCCAAGTTCACATGACTCATATATGTCTTGTAGTGAACGTGTCTTTCTTGGAGGGCTTTCTGGATCAGATTCTTCCTCACTTCTTGGAGTAGGGTTTGGATTATGCTCTAAATTTCCAACTTGTGACGGACCTGCTTGAAATGTTAATGGATCAACAAAATGGTATGGTGTCTGGTCCACAACTTCTTTCCCTTTCCAATCCCAAGATGCAGCTTCATCAAAAACAACGTCTCGTGAAACTGTAATTTTGTTTGTAGTTGGATCTAATAACCAATATCCTTTAGATTCATCACTAGATCCAACAAAGACAAGTTTTTGTCCTTTCTCGTCAAATTTCTCCCGATTTTGAGAAGGGATAAGAGCATAAGCAATGCTGCCAAATATTTTGAAGTGATCAACCATTGGCTTCTTTTTGTTCCAAGCTTCGTATGGAGTTTTATTCCGTACAGCCTTTGTTGGAGACCGATTGAGAATGTATACTGCCGTATTTACAGCTTCTGCCCAATACAGATTTGGAAGTCCTTTGCCCTTTAGCATGCTTCTTGCCATTTCAACAATTGTACGATTTTTTCTTTCGGCCACGCCGTTTTGTTGCGGAGTTCGACTCACAGTTAATTGTCTTTTGATGCCATTTTTTCTGCAATATTCCATGAAAGGATTATAGAGATATTCACCTCCACGATCGGTCCTTAAAGTTTTTATCAAAAAACCACTTTGCCTTTCTGCTTGAGCTTTGAATTGAAGAAATGTGGAATATGCCTCAGATTTTTGACTGAGGAAGAAAACCCATATCATTCTTGTGAAGTCATCAACAAAGAGAATAAAATATCTCTTGTTTCCAAAAGTGGAAGTTTGCATTGGCCCACAAATATCCGAGTGCACAAGCTCAAGTGGTGCTTTCGTTCTCCATGAAGTTTTTGGAAACGACAACTTGTGCAATTTCCCATAGACGCATCCTTCGCACATTTTGTCTATGTGTTGGATGTTAGGAAGTCCCGTCACCATGTTTTTCATTTGGAGTAAACGAAGGCCTCTTTCATGAAGATGACCATATCGTAAATGCCACAAATACACCAAATCTTCGTCTCTTGCCTTGAGTGCACAATTCTCATTTAGTGGCATCTTAAGAGGAAATGTCTTGTTCTTCATTTCAATATTTTCCACACAAATATTTTTCTTTTTATCAAAAACTTTACATGCACCATCATCAAAGTGGACAGAGAAGTCACTTTGAATAAGTTGTCCAACACTTAGGAGATTATGAGAAAGATTGGGAACATAAAGAACATCTGTGATGAGTTTCTTGTTACCTTCTTTAATTTGGACAGCAATGGTGCCTTTTCCTACCGCATCTCTACATGTTCCATCGCCAAGAATTACTTGTGAAGTAATATTTGGATTAAGGTCCACAAAGATGTCGCGATTCCCCGTCATGTGATTGCTACAACCGCTATCCAAATACCAAGGGCTTTGAGCTCCATTTTCATAATTTTGAGAATAAAACAGAATTTCCTTTTCATTCTCTTGAGAAAAGTTTGCTGCACTTTTTCTTTCTGTCATCTCTTTATTTTGAAACCAACAATCCCTTTGAGAATGATTGGGGATCTTGCACCTTTTGCATCTAAAGTAGCACTCCTTTGATTCATGATTCATTTTTTTGCAAATTATGCAAGTTGGATTGTTACCACCAGAAATTTGTGTTTGCTTGCCTTTCCATTTGCTTTGCTTGTCACCCTTCTTCCAATAGCTATCTTTTTGTTTTGTTTGATTTGAGCCTCTGTTGTGTTCTCCATAGTTGTTCGATCCTCCTTTTGATGTTTGCTTTGATTGGAAAGCTTGTTCGGTAGTAGATTGGTTACTCGAACGATTGATCCTTTGCTCATGGGCAAGAAGTGACCCGGTTAACTCATAAATGGTCATTTTGGACAAGTCTTTCGATTCTTCAATTGCGGCTGCAACATGGTCAAACTTTGGAGGAAGGCATCTTAACATTTTCTCCACGACTCTTTTATCTGTAATTGTGTCACCACAGCTTTTGATTTGATTTACTGTCTCGGCTACTCGTGAAGAAAAAACACGAACCGATTCTCGTTCTTCCATTTGGAGATTATCAAAGTCTGTCCATAAGGATTGAAGTTTCAAGGCGATCATTTTCTCCATTCCTTGAAATTCTTGCATCAATATTTCCCAAGCATCTTTGGCTTTTTTAACACCAAAGATACGAGGGAAAATTGATTTCCCGACTCCTTGTTGAATATAGCGGAGAGCCATTGCATCTTTTCTTTTAAATTCTTTTTGCAATTTTTCGTAATCTTCATTGTCTTCGGATGGTTCTTCGTACTCCTCATCGTCAATGACATGCCAAAGATCTAAGGAGATGAAGAAAGTTTGCATTTGGATGCTCCAGTATTCATAATGCTCGCCTTCGAAGATTGGGACTTGACTGGAAGAATATGTAAACAACGAAACTGTTTGTATGAAAGCCATGAAAAAATGCAATCACAAGTTATGGCTCTGATACCAAATTTGTTAGTGCGGAAACGAAGTGTTGAAGAAAAACTTGAATTTTTATTGATAGTTTTTGAGTTGCTACAGCACACTCAATAATGTTTTCTTCTTTTTTTCTTACAATGAGACTACAAGAATGACCTCTATTTATAGGACCACATGGATAACTCTAGAGACATGGGAATATAAATGGACACCTAATAATTCATGAATTTGCATCATGTATTTTCCTGATACATTTTCTTCAAGTGCATCATGTATTTTCCTGATACATTTTCTTCAAGTGCATGTAACCTTATTTATTTCCTAAGATTACAAATTAATGTCACATTTAACAAGATCATGATCTGAACACAAAAGAATGCTATTTTTATCTTCAACCTCGCATCCCTAATTGTAATGCAGAAGCCATGATATTTACCGTTGTAGATTTCTGCGGATAGAAAACCTTATAAAGTGTAGGAGCCTACCAATTTAAATCTGAAACATGGTAACTTCTCAAAACCATTCTGAAGATAGCGATGAGGATACTCATGATGAGGCTACCGAAGAATTTGATATTGTTGATACCATGTTAGTCGATGACAGTGAGACAAATAATACCATTCTTGGTAATACTAAATCCAATGTGGAGATGATTCCTGGCAGGAAAGATTGTGGTACTACATGGCATGGAAATGATATTTCAGTGAGTAACTTGAAGAACATAAAGGATTAGTGCAAGGACAAGCAAACACGAAATTTGCTAACGTCCCATTTGAGCTGGAAATGGAAATGGGAAAAAGTCAACAGCATAGCTTCTACTACCAAACATTGTCCTCATAGTCGTATAGCGACGAGCAATGGTGTGACTATAATATACCTTGAAACTATATGTCTCCGACTTTCTACTCTAAGTCAATTGCCGGCATAACTTAATAAGTATAGAAACTTGAAATAGACGTTTACTCTTAACATCTAGCTCATAATGTCGCAATTTGTATTCCAAAGTATCAATGTCTTTTTTTAGAAAAATCTTCAAAATTGAATTTCTTTGCAAGTTTACAAATATCACAACACTTTGATTTTGTGTCCATATAAAGAAACATGTTTGTCACAATGATATTGAATTTCGGAACATAAAAATGTTGAGTGGCAATGAAATTCCACTCAAAGTTTAGTGACCTTTACTGACTTATAACCACTCCCACCTTTCTGTATATATATAATCCATTTCTATTCAACATTTCTTCAAAATTGCTCTGTCTCTCTTTATATATATATATATATATATATATATATATATATATATATGTATGTATGTATATAGAGTAAAACCAGTATCTATTGCTAAATTTACGGCTCTCATTATGCTTTTGCACGATTTTTACTCCATTACTTATTTCTTGTAGATAATTATGCTTCACTCCACTAAACTGTATATCTTCAAAGGTTGGTCCTAGTTGTATATTATATAGATTATTATACTAGTAAACTTTAAAGGGTGGTGAAAACTAATAGATCTGGATTTTGTACTTTGCTCTGACTTGATTTATTGCAAATCATTCTACATTCCTACATAGTTTCATGTCTTAAGCATGTACTGTTATCATGTCTTTGTATCCAAAAGTGCTACATGTACAGCAAGTTATATATCAACTTATACAGCCCTCTCACATGTAGAGGGTCTCACACATATGAGATGGTTGTAACTTTTACAGCCCTCAAATGATGTACAACTATCTTTTTCCTTTCGGATCTGGCATGTAGCCTGGCCAGCCCTGCCTTGATTCTGCCTGTGGGCCATATGTTTGAGCTTTAAATGTTTTTATTTGGAGTTCATATGGCTCTCTGAAATAGGAATAAGATATCTTTTGCAAATAAAATATTTAATGGGTTAAAAACATTCTTCGGATTATAATTATATTATACTTCGATGTCTTTTGCTATCACTTGTTATCGATTGTTTCTTTGTCATAATTTTTGTGGAAGAATTGTTAGAAGCAATGGCACTATCAATAATTTACCAACATATTCCACTTTTCATTATAACATGAAATAATAAGCATAAAATAGGATGAGATTTATTTTATTTATTTGTTCATTAAAACAGAGGATCAAGATATTTTCCCGTTGAAGTGAAATTTCAAATTAGATCGACTAAAACAAGTATCCTATCTTGATTGGCCTTTCAACCCTAGCCTTTTGTTAGCTTCATAGTCTCATCATCTTCTACTCGGGGCCTTTTTTGGAGATTTCTCTTCCCTAGGGGTGAGCTTTCTTGCCTTCGTTGGTATGCACAATTCATGCACTTGACAATCGATTCCACCTTTTTAGGCATTCACACATTATCCATTTGCAGTATAATTAAACACATTACATGAACCAATGTGTATGTGACCTTGATATGCACGTGCGCAAATCGTGTGAATGTAATGTGTGCTACAACTAAGAGTTAGAGAAGGAAGTGTGGATCATAACTTGTTGATTTTGAAAGCAAAAAAATAGAGAAATAATAAATACAATGCGATTGGACAAAACTGAAAATTTTATTAATAATTCATTCCTGCAAATTAATTACAACGGAGCAACATTATATACGAAAACTAATGACATGCTTAACACAATGAACCGGTAAAATACTAATTAACTTGACTAATATGTGTGTGTGTGTGTGAGAGAGAGAGGGTAATTTCAAATGACATGAATGAACTTGACTAATATATGATGTTTATATTTTATGATTAGGTGCAAAAAAAAAATGTGTGTTCATTCATGACATTTGAAATTACTATATGTGTGTGTGTGTGAATGAGTAATTTCAAATGACATGAATGAACTTGACTAATATATGAAGTTTATATTTTACGATTAGGTGAAAATGTCTGCGATTTGGTATTGGGATATTAGGAACTTCCATTTTACATATTGTTTGTCAAACTCAATGTCAAACAAAAGTGTGGCTGATGTCTTAAGAAACGTTGCCAGAGAACTGGGGTCACTCGAGCTTGAACCGAAGAAGATGTAGGGAACAAAAACAACAAAGAGTATAATTTCTCCACCAGTGAAAGTAAGTGAAAGATGATCATTATCTGCATACAAATCAATACGATTTTTATCTTTAACCTTGCACCCCTAATTGTAATGCATATTGAAGGAAAGATGGGTTTACTAACTTGGATTGACTAAGGCTTTTAAGAGGACAATACTAATAGGAAGAAGGAAGTGAGAAAATGAAACTTGTATTTCTCAAACTTTAAGACCTTACACACTTTTTGGCTTGTTACAGAATGGAGGACACTAAACCTTTATATATAGTTTACATAAAGATTCTAGTCCTCACAATTTTTTAGAGACACCTAGACCACACATCAAGATATTTTCCTAGAATTCTCTAGATATTCTTTATAAGACCACTTATCTTACTTAGATATTTATATAGATTATTCTAGTAGATATTTATATAGATTTTTCTAGATAATATTTCTAGAAATGCTAGGCATGTTGGGCCTTTTAATTGATTTGGGTCTATAAGTAAATCCTTAAACGCATATTATCTAGTCCAAAAATCAAGTTTATTACTCAACATCCCCCCTTAAACTTGATTTTGCTACTCCAAGTAGAGTTTTTAACTTGCGGAACACATCATGCTTGAGTGGCTTAGTGAGAATGTCGACGATCTGCTCCTGGGAGGTTACATATTTCAGCTGCACTTCTTTCTTTGCAATACTTTCTTTTATGAAATGATATCTTGTATCAATGTGCTTGCTTCTGTCATCGAATACTGAGTTCTTTGCCAATGCCAATGCCGACTTGTTATCAACATGGATTTTGGTTGGTTCTTCTTGTGAAACTCCAAGCGTCTTCAACAAGTTTCTAAGCCAAATCGCGTGGCAGGCACTTGATGTAGTTTCAATATATTCAGCTTCACAGGTAGATAGTGCTACGATTGATTGCTTCTTTGAGCTCCAAGTGAAAGCTGTGTCGCCCAAGTAAAACACATATCCAATCATACTCTTTCTATCATCACTGTCTCCGTCCCAATCGCTGTCACTATATCCAACAAGTTTGAATTCATTAGATGATGAATAGACTAAGCCATAATCAAGCGTACCTTTGATGTAGCGAAGAATTCTCTTTGTAGTTTTCATATGGGTCATGGTAGGTGTCTCCATATAGCGACTGATGAGCCCAACTCCAAAAAAGATATCTGGTCTTGTGCACGTCAAATATCTTAGACTTCCAACAAGACTCTCAAAAAGTGTTGGGTTTACTTTTTCACCTTCATCATTGTTCGACAACTTGGTTCTGCATTCGATGGGGCTGCATATAGGCTTGCAATCCTCCATATTAAATTTCTGTAGAATTTCTTTCGCATATCCTGCTTGTGAGATAAAGATGCAATCCTTCATATGCTTTACCTCAATCCCAAGATAGTAGGCCATAAGGCGAATATCTGTCATCTCAAATTCTTGAGCCATGGCCTTCTTAAACTCAGTGATCATACTTTGATTATTTCCTGTGAATATAAGATCATCTACATCCAAACAAATAAGCAAAATATCTTCTTTCTCATTTACCTTTGTGTAAAGGGCATACTCGTGAGGGCATTTTGTGAAGTTATTTTCTAGAAAATACTTGTCAATTCTACTATTCCATGCCCTTGGAGCCTGTTTCAACCCATATAAAGTCTTTTTTAGTTTCAAGATTTTACCTTCATGTCCTTTTATTTTATAGCCCATTGGTTGCTTCACATAAATTTCTTCTTCAAGATAACTATTTAGAAAAGCCGATTTCACGTCCATTTAAAATATCTTCCACTTATTTTGTGCTGCAAAAGAGATAATTAATCTTATGGTTTCTAAATGAGCAACAGGAGCAAATACCTCTTCATAATCGATTCCCGACCGTCGGTTGTAGCCTTTGGCAACCAATCTTGCTTTGTATCTTTCTACTTCTCCTTTAGCATTCTTCTTTGCCTTGTACACCCACTTAACTCA